GGAGATTCGTATGGAAAGTTGGTACAGGTGACTGCTGCATATTCTCAGTTTTCTCCCACACATTACTAACCAAAAATGCATTTGTGTCGTTATCTTCATAGTATGTTTTGAGCTCATTAACCGTTGCATTTTGTTATGCTTCTTTTGTTTGTTCATCTGAAGTGTATTTGGACGAATGGTAACTGAATAACTCAATGCCAGGTTGATAGAATTGTCCCAGGTTCACTGCCATCATCTGCAACTGGACCTGTTATCCTTGTCGTCAACAAGGCTGACGGGGATGAAGAGGTTTCTAATGTCTATCTGAACGCTTTGTCAAAAGATACTTTTCTTCCTATAGACGCAATTTTCTCAGAATAACATTAGTCAACAACTGATACACTGAACGGTAACCTTGACTCTTCCAGGTATCAGTGGTTGGGAGTAATATAGCTGGCATCATACTTCTGCAAGAGTTGCCTCATCTATCTCATCTGGGGGTTAGGGCCCGCCAGGCAAGTTTTGTTTGTTTTTTTTGTAGTTCCCACCATCTTCTCTTCCCTCAAAATACAATCGTGGGATTTTGTGTTTTTTTCGGGTTTGTAGGAAAAGGTAGCATTTGTGACTTGTGAAGATGAAGATGAAGTCGTGAATTTGCAAAGACTGATTGGAGAATATGTCAGGTTATATGTTATAGAAGTTAAAAATGTGCTGTTTTTGTTTTCATTTTTTGTTCGTTCTCTCATCTTCATTTCCATCAAGGAGAGACAATCTTTCTCTTAATTTTTCAGGCTAGAGGCGTCATCAGCAGGTGTGAAGTTAACCCCCTCTTCACAAGAGAACAGCACCAGCTTCTTCACAGAAGATTCATTTAAAAATGGGGCCGCGGTGGAGACCAGTTCTTCAGCGGTTATTCCCTCTTTTTCAAAACAGGTGAGCTTCTTTTCGTGCTAATTGAGTAATTGTTGTGTTTGAAAAAAATGTTTATCACTTATTGTTTATACAGTCTTCAATCAAGAAGCTGATGCACTTCCTTTCAGGTAGAAGCTACTAGAGGTGTTTTGTCGCTTGCTGATGCGGATATACAAAGTTCTGGGGCAAAAGCTGTTGCCTGCGCTCATTTAGCCTCTTTGGCATTGGCTTCTCAGAAAGGTGCATTAGCTCTGAAAATGATCTTCACACATTTATTACACATTAACGGGTTGGATTACGGTTAAACACTCGGTGATATAAATTAACTAAAGGAACCTCTTGCAAATTTTTTTGGTGGGACCCTTTGGAGGACCATCGCTCTCTGGGTGATATGCATTAACTATGAGTTAAGCCATCAAAATGATACTACCAAATGGTTGGAGGAGATGGTGCACGTCACTTTCAAAAAGTTTCTTGTAGTTTTGCATTGCTTCTTCCACAAAAACACCCACCTTGATTTTTTAGACTCGCTTCAACTCTATAAGTGTAGTTTCCTTTTTGAGAGAAGCACAATAGTGTTTATTTTCCATGGAAAAAGAAAACCATAACGGAGTCTATAAAACAAGAATTCATATCTTTTGTTCATATTTTCTTGTTAATCCTCTTATCCATCGCCCTTAATCACAGTTTACAGCGATCTAGGGGTCCCAGCTTCATTCAAAGTGCCTGCCGGAGCTGTTATACCCTTTGGCTCTGTGGAGATGGCTCTTGAGCAAAGCAATTCCATGGGAACCTTTGAGTCTCTAGTGGAGCAGATACAAACAGCTCAAGTGGAGGGCGGTGAACTTGATAGACTATGTAATGAACTCCAGAAACTGATCTCTTCACTACAGGCTCCGAAAAACATCATAGCAACCTTGGGAAGAATGTTTCCTGGGAACACAAGGCTGATCGTGCGCTCCAGTGCTAATGTCGAGGACCTGGCTGGGATGTCCGCTGCCGGCCTATATGAATCAATTCCCAATGTCAGCCCTTCAAGTCCTAGTGTGTTTGGGAGTTGTGTAGCCCGTGTTTGGGCCTCACTTTACACCCGTAGGGCAGTCTTGAGCCGCAGAGCTGCTGGGGTGCCCCAAAAGGATGCTGCCATGGCTGTACTGGTGCAAGAAATGCTCTACCCAGACCTCTCTTTTGTGCTCCACACCCTAAGCCCCACGGACCGCGACCATAACTCTGTGGAGGCAGAAATCGCGCCAGGACTAGGGGAAACTCTTGCATCTGGCACAAGGGGCACTCCCTGGCGCCTCTCAAGTGGGAAGTTTGATGGCAAGGTCAAGACATTGGCATTTGCCAATTTCAGTCAGGAGCTGGTTGTGCATGACTCTGGGTCACCGGATGGAGAAGTTGTTCGTCTCACTGTGGACTACAGCAAGAAGCCACTGACGGTGGATCCCATTTTCAGGGGGCAGCTCGGGCAGCGACTCGGAACGGTTGGTTTCTTTCTGGAGCGCAAGTTCGGTTGCCCTCAAGATGTTGAAGGGTGTTTGGTAGGAAATGAAGTGTATATTGTCCAATCTCGCCCTCAACCGCTCTGAGAAGAGCGGTTTACGTGCTCTCCTCTTGTAATATATGGTGCTTGGATTTTGCTTCATTTGTTCTCTTGGTTGTGTGTGTTTTATTACTGTGATTTATGAGGTGTATATAAATGCAATGTGAGTGAATGTATAAATCACCAAATGAAAAATGACCACATGAGGGCCTGTTCATCTTAAGCAACTGTTAATAAAGGGCATTTGATGAGTAATTATTTATTTGCGTTGCAATAAGCATCTCTTTTCATTTTATTATCTATGGGGATTCTGTGGCTGCTCGCCTCGTTGTTGAAAAAGAAAAATGAAATTGTTTAATTTGAGATAATTGAAGTTTATGTTTTTTTTCATTTCATGCACTCCGTATATGTTATTTCAAACACAATAATTTTGAAATTTTAAAACATTATTTAAAAGACTAGAATGGAAACTAAAAAATCTTTTTAAAAAAGAAACAAAGAAAAAAATAGACACAAAAGGGAAAAAAAGAAAATCGAAAATGAATTGTGTTTCCCCATGTGGTTTGGAAAATAGAAAGAAACGAGGCGAGGAGGCTTGAGGTAGGAATACTCGGGACCCTTGAGCTGTGAGCTTTGTCGAACATAGAGATGCAAGAAGAGAGGCACACTAGCGGCAACAACGCCAGGACCTACTTCACCAGCTGATCGGGGAACATCAAGAAGAAGAACTCAAGATTCAAGCTCTATGCTCCATGTCTCGGACCTGCACTAGAAGAGACTTTAAAGAACACCGGAAGAAGAAGTTTTCCGATTATGTAGTGTTTGGCAACTAGCATTTCATTTCAATTCATGTATTTCAATTTCAAATGACAAGGAGAGGTGCATGTATTTCAAATTATGCTTTGTTATGAATGAGAAGAATTTGACTCAAATCCAAATTCAAAATTTTTAACTTTCCCAAACATGGAATTTGAGCCAAATCCGAATTTGAAATCCAAATCCATGTTCCCAAACATAGAATTAGGCCCCGTTTGGTACATGGAATTCAAACTATGGAATTGGAATTGAGGGCTTCAATTCCAATTCTGGTGTTTGGTAGCACAAAAATTATCTGGATTTGGAATTGATAGTGTAAAAAATGAATTGAAATTGGCAGAATTCAATTCTATGGAATTGAATCCCATGGAATCTCAATTCCAATTCAATTCCAATTCCGTCAATTTCGTATACCAAACGGACCCTTAGGTAGTGTTTGGCAACTAGCATTTCATTTCAATTCATGCATTTCAATTCCAAAAATTGAAATCTTGAATTTCAAATGACAAGGGGAGGTGCATGGATTTCAAATTAAGCTTTATTTTGAATGTAAAGAATTTGATTCAAATCCAAATTCCAAATGCTTAAGTTTCCCAAACATACTCTTAAGGAATTTGAAAGAAAGGCGACAGAGTATAGTTTCTCGGTCAACATTTCGTATTCACTAAGAAGCTGATGGGTTTGTGATGAGATTATACCCACAAGGTCTATAAGGTATTGGGTCCGGTCAATGGGAGAAGCCAAGTGGAGAAATCCTAATCCCAGCCTTCTCTTCTATTATAAATAAGGTTACAAGCCATGAAAAAGGGCATCCATTGAGCTTCAAGTCCCATGAATGACTACCACCCCAATATAAATTTTTCATGTTGTTTAGTTCATCTGTCCATTCGCTCAATCAATTTAAGGTACAATCGAAGTTATTCACTTTGTTTTCTTTAATTTAATAAGAAATGGTAAAGTAATTGAAAGTGACCAAAAGACAATAGGATATGAAATAATTTTTGTTCAGTTTTGATTTAGAAAAGGCTGGCTGTTTAAACATTTTTTAATTTTATTTCTCAACCTTTCGCTCTACTTTTGGAATGTGGCATGCGATGCAAACCTGACATTAAATGTTGGTAGATAAAATTGTTTTTGGCACTTCATTATGTTTTTGATAGTATACATTGCCATGTTTGATATTATGCAGTGTCATGTATGTTTGACAATAATGTATGTAAGGTGAGCATGGTACAGTATGGTACGATATTTAGCTTGTATGAATATCATATTAAATATTTTGGTTCAGTATGAGATTTTACATCATACTCATCTCGATCGTGAAATTTTGATTCAATGTGGTTTGAGATGATTAAATATCGGTTTCGGTACAAATCAAGATGAATACATACATACATAATTTAAACTTATAATTTAATGAAAAAAATTTAAAAATTTTTATATTTATAATGTATTAGTGCATGTGTGTGTGTGTATTTGGTATTATAATTTTTTTTGAGAATTTTCGTTATTAGTTCGGTACTTGTTCACCCCTAAATATATATGTTAGCAAACATTATAAAATGACACTTTGGCATTGCGACAGAAAAATAGGCATCGTTGATTTGTTAATGGATCCACACATTTTTTTTTAAAAAGAATGTATTTTGGTCCTATTTTAGAGTTAAAAACCTTTTTTTATACGGAGTACTACTTATCCACTAATTTCCAATGTCTATGTACTATGATGAGATATTGACATGCAATAGTTGAGGTTCTCCGTCTCCCTTTGCTGGTCTGGCTATGAAATGATGACCGCCACAACTTCAAGTCCGCCTTCTCCCTCAATGCTCTCTTTTTCATGTTCTACAGAACACAAATTCTTCCCGCTTTCAGTTTCTTTCCACTCAAGAACTCGCCTTTCCTGCAAACCAGTCTTGATTTCTATCCCCACTTCTAACCACAAGTTCCCCAAATCAAGTTTTTGCATCTTCAATTCAATCAACAAAGTCTCTTCTGTAGATGATGCTCCCAAAACGAATCCATCCCTGATTGAGGTAAAAACCAGGTAATTCTTCATGCTTCATTTGTACTCTTATTAATTGCTACTGTACTTCTTCATCCCCCTTTATTATTATTGTTGTTGTTGTTGTTGTTGTTGTTGTTATTATTATTATTATTATTATTATTATTATTATTATGAGGGTGTTTCTTTGTGCGGGTGCTTGTTGGCTTATTGCTGATAAATAGTTTTTAACTTATAAGTTGCTTATAAGTTAAATATTCTTTCGTGCAAGTAAAATGACTTAAATGATAGATAATTCATTGTAAATATTCATAAATGGTGAGGGACTAAAATGACTTAAATGATAGATAAATCATTTGTAAATATTCATAAATGGTGATAGACAGCTTTGTTAATAATCTGGTCAAAACGGAGAAACGAAAAAGCTAGTTTAAAAATAAGTAGCTACGACTTACTTATTTGTTCAGGCGTATGAGCAGCTTATAAGTGAGCTTATAAGCACACAGAAACATGTCATTAACTGATAAGTATAAAACTGCTTATAAGCACGTTTGGCCAACTTATAAGCACAGAGAAACACCCAATATTACTACTACTACTATTATTATTATTATTATTATTATTATTATTATTATTATTATTATTATTATTATTATTATTATTATTGGCTTGTCCACTTTGTGTGGGCACAAGTTTTGAGGAATTGAAGTGGGAAAGTGTTGTACGGTTCCTGTGGCTTCCCTACTGTTTTTTTATTTTTTTGTTTAGAGAACCTTAAAATTGCAGAAAACACAAGGGAACCCAGGGATAAAAGGATTTGAGAAGAAATTTGGCAGAATAACAAACAATAAACATGAAAGGACCGAAAGAAATGAGCATTTTTTAGAAGAACAAGGAACAAGAAATTAATCCTTAAAAAAATTGATTCAATCTTTGGAAAGCAAACGAAGTAATAGGCATACTACCAAAAATGGCAAACACTTTCAATGGAAACAGAGAAATTGATTTGCAAAAATAGTCTTACTATTATTCTGTAAATAACAAGGGCACACTCTCTAGTCCTTATCGTTTGGTGAGAACATTCATCATGTAGCCTGTAGCAATTTCTGATGGAATAATGAATTTACTCAGATCAATGATGTTTGGCTGAAACAGAATTTATAGAAAACCTGAAAGACTAGTTACTAAATATCCTTGAACTAAATTACTAATATATACATAATTTGATTGCCTAACAATTTTAGAGAAATTCTAGTGGTGTTCCTCTCTTGATATATAGTCATTTTCATAAATTGGATGGGATCATGAAATTTTTTCTTTGAAAAATTTTTGATACTTTGTTTGAAAAAACATGCTCACAGAATATATGTATATTTGTTTTCTAGTATTCCGCAATTAAAAGCACACATACACTGTTTTGCAGTTTATGGAAGTGGAGAGGTTACTCGATCCGCTATCAGTATGCCGGCAGCATTGGTCCAGCACTGGTTTTACTCCATGGTTTTGGAGCAAACAGGTCAAGAATGCTTCTAGTAAACTATTTGATATAGGTATTAATTGAAAAACCTCATTACTAGCATAAGGTTTCCTTTTCTTATCTCATTCATGCAATCTCATTCAAAATTTTCCTTCTTCAGGTTTCTTTTGAAATGCATTTTGCTTTTTAGTGATAAAATAAATATGTTTGTTTACTCGGGTTTGGAATTCTAGGCTTAAAGCCTAAGGGCAAACAATTTTACTTCATTGTCTCTTCAACAGTGACTACCCTGAGATTTTTGTCATGTGTTCCTTTCCTACAATCTTATATTGAACCTGCATATATTGTTAGATAGTAATAGTCTTTCCTGAGATTTGTTTCCTGAGATATGTATATATAGAATTTCAAAGTGTTTGTGCAAATTAAATTGTAAAACAACCCGTACCACATATGCATTCACAGTTTCTTTTCTTTTTTCTTTTGTCGTTTCCATCTGATCATGTTCAAATAAGCATCTTGATCATGTTGAAATAAGCATCTTAGTTATCATGTATTCAACAGTGACCATTGGAGAAAAAACCTTCCCGTCCTGGCACAAGCACACCGAGTGTTCGCGATTGATCTTATTGGTTATGGTTACTCGGACAAACCAGATCCGCTCGAATTTGTAGATCTGTTCTACACCTTTGAGACATGGGCTAGCCAGCTTAATGATTTTTGCAACGTTGTTGCCAGAGACAAAGCTTTCTTTATCTGCAATTCCATTGGAGGTATCTTCCCTCCTGACTATTGATCCATTTCTATGAGGCAACATATTCCAGAATTGGGAAATGTCGTGGTCTTATTAAACTTCATTTCGTTCTTATTTTCTATGAAGTTTTGGGTAGTAAATGCATCAAATGTGTAACACAAACATCCTCATTTTTACAGGGGTAAGACTCCATAAGTCTTGACCCCCAGACCCCAATGGATTCGGAATTATTACTGGGTTTTACTTTGTTGGGAAATGTAGTGATCTCATGTTTTGTTTTACTTTCAACTTTGGGCATGTTTTGTGTATACAATTTGCGCCTTTCAAAAGTAATAATTCGATATTTAAATTTCTCTAATAAGATATTTGCTATCATTAATGTATAGGAATTGTTGGCCTTCAGGCTGCAGTCAAGGAACCTCAAATATGCAACGGCATTTTTCTTTTAAATATCTCTCTTCGTATGCTACACATAAAAAAGCAACCTTGGTATGGAAGACCTTTCATTAGATCATTTCAAAGCTTGCTGAGGTAATTTTTCTTTTAGAGTTACACTCACTTTCCCCTTTTTGGCTACAGTCTACTACATTTAATAGACTGAAACACCTTCCTTTCAAAAGAAATGAAACACCTAAATAAATATCCAGAAAATCCCAATTTTATTTAGTCAGGCATAACATAATTTAAGTTTCATTTCATTTTAGTTTGAAATAACCTTACCTATTTTCACTCTCCTCATTTTTGAATGCAAATATGCTCATCAACCCCTCTCAAATGTACAAACATTCCCAATAGAAAGTTAGCCAAAGACCAACACTATCTACAAGATCAAATATTCGCTACAAGAACCAGCAAAACAACTACAATAAGCTGCCAAACTGCTATAGACCAGTAGGACAAAACATTCAAGAAATCTTTGAGTTGAAATAAGTACCAACATGGTACTTCATACAGTAAACCGCTTCCTCAATTGTAAGGGAGTTCATGTGCAGGGCCAAGGTTCTGATTTTCCAAATATAATGCACACCAGCAGCAAAAATCGCAATTAACTTCCATCTCTTCTTCATTGGAACGATACCCTGAAATTGCTCGAATATTTCAATGATACTGCCTCCCTCAAAATGTGATTGACTCCAAGCATAGACTCTCCTATACAGCTCCTTAGTATAAGGGCAGGTGCAGAAAAGATGATTTGAGTCTTCCACAGCATTTTGGCATAACAAGCATTGAGTATCAATTGACTCCAAGCATAGACTCTCTTACTGTAGTTTTTTAAGGACAAATAACACTGGAAAAGCTTTCCCTGTAAACATACATGATACACCCTCTGTCCTAAGAAAGAACCCTATTTAAATACTTATTCTTTTTTCCAAAAAAGAAAAGAAGAGTTATGCTCATTTGAAGTACAAGCTAATTTTTATAATATTTGATGCTTTTGATAAGAAAAGCATCCAAGATAGCTTACATATGTTGAATTTAGTTAAATTAACAAATAAAATTTAAGATATAGCTGTAGTTAATGATTTCGAATAGTTTAATTTAAATTTTTAAAAAAAATAGTGCACCTTAATGGACCAGGGTCCCTTTCCATTGGAGGGAAGGAGTCTTCCTTTGCCTTATGGTCTTCAATCTTTCTGTGTAACTTTTCTTTTCTTTTTTTTTTGAAAGTTGAAGTGAAATTAGTGTTTTTCTCAGGAATACAGAAATTGGCAAATTGTTTTTTAGAGCTGTTGCCACTCCCAAATCTGTACGGAATATCCTTTGTCAGGTTAGCGGCTAGCTATTGTATTTCTCATAGCTGTTAAAATATTGGATCCGGGTTCGAACAAATAAAATTTTAGATTCCTTCAAGCTATGCAAGTTGGAATTATATATGTGTGATTCGTAAAAACCATAACATCATAATCTTAATCTCGAAACACTGTTTCCAAGGACGACAACAACAACAACAAACCCAATAGAACCCCCACAAAAGTAGGGTCTGAGGAGGGTGTGGGTGCGTAGACATTACCCCTACTACAATTTAGATATTTTCCTTGTGGACTGTGGCAATGCACTAGAAGTTGGAAGAATTCATGAAAGTAAACACATGGGATCTTGTGCAGTTACCCCAAGGAAATTATTGCAAACAAATGAGTGTATTAAATTAAGAAAAATAGTGATGATCAAGAGGAATGGTATTGGAGTAGAGGGGTGGGAGGGCTATTTTCTTCTGTCCCTAAGGGTATGTTTGGGAGGTAGGTTTTGGAGAAGAGAGAGAAAGAGCGCTATTTTCCATTTTAAGCAAATAATATTTTGACTTGAATATTTTTCAAAGCAAAGATGTTAAATGAGAAACTAGTTTTTTTAACACTAATAACTCTATTACAATGTAGTATTTGCTCATACATTCTCAAGGTCTTTGGCATGAGAAACTAGTTTGAACTCAATATTCTAGCCATTTATGTATTATCATAAACAATATATATTTCACCTAATTTAAAAATAACCCTTCCACATTCTTTAAAAAAATGCCCAAAAAAGAGGCAACAACAATAATGATTAATGATGATGTACTAAGCCAAATGTGAGATACTTCTTCTCTTGTAAACCTGTAATATTAGTTATATTACATATATATATCTTGTTTGATAGTTCTTCAAAGCCATTAGGTTATTTCTTCTTTTGTTCATGGGAAAATGTATTGCAGTGCTACCATGACAAAACCCAGGTGACAGATGAATTAGTAGAAGCCATCCTTCGTCCAGGGCTTGAACACGGTGCTGCAGATGTCTTTCTTGAGTTTATAAGCTACTCCGGAGGGCCTCTTGCTGAGGAACTACTGCCTCTAGTTAAGGTAGCATATTTTGTTTAAACTTTGTGTACTAAAATAGTATAATCCAAAGGAGATAAGCGTAGTGTTGGCTCTTTTCTTACAGTGCCCTGTTTTAGTGGCTTGGGGTGACAAAGATCCATGGGAGCCCTTAGAGCTTGGAAGAGCATACAGTAAATTTAACACTGTTGAAGATTTCATTGTCCTCCCTGATGTTGGCCACTGTCCTCAGGTCTTCTCTCTCTCTCTCTCTCACTCTCTCTCTCTCTCTCTCTCCCCCTCTCTGAAGGGCACCACAAATCTTTTTACATGTATTCTGGCTTTGCCTCTATTTGCTTGTGCTCCTTTTCAATGTGGTATTAATTGATCTTAAAAGGGACAAAATCTTGCTTTATACCCTTTCCATCCATAATAAGTTTATGTTTCTCAAAGGTAATTTCATAAGGATTAAATATGTTTTTGGTCCCAATAGAATGAGTGACTTTTGCTTTTGGCCCCTCTGCTTTTTTTATTTAAGTCATCCTTGTAAAACCTTTTTTTTTGCAAATGGTAATCCAACTAATTTGGATATAATGTGTTAGGGTTTACCTAGTGACCAAAAACAAAATCACTTTGGACATAAAAAAATTTAGAGGACCAAAACCAAAATCGCTAATTTTAGAGGAACCAGAAACATATTCAACATTAGCTCCAAATTGGTGGGAGGACCAATTGAAAAAAAATTACAGTGATTATTTAATTACAATTTTTTTGAGGGACCAAACACAAAATTTTCTAATTTTACAGGGTCCAAAAACATATTTAACCCTTTTCACAAGGTACAACTATTGGGAACTATCAATTTTAACTATATTTTAAAACATATTTGTTGGTTTAATTATGGGAGAGTTCTATACTACTCCCTCTATCCCAATTTAATCTTCCTGTGTACTTCTTCGCGTGGTTTAAGTGAAATCATTTGGTTGTGATTTATGGAGAGGAGAGAGAGAATCAATATGGACCACTTATTCCATTTTTTTAAGGAATGAGAAGTTTATTTTGGGACAATCTAAAAAGGAAAGTGGAAAGATTAATCTAGCACGAAGGGAGTACTTAACTTTAACTGGAGTCCGGAGTCTAGAGCTAAAGTTGAATACAGGACAAGGACACAGCACACTCAATCTATTTGGAACACTTTTCTCATAAAAACATCAAATATGTTGATAATTGATTTCTTTTGTTCAAATGTGACACATTTTTGGGGAAAAAAGAGAGTTTTCAAACATGACTTTTTAACAGACATCTTTTTCTTCCTCAACCCACACAGTGGAATATTATCCCATGGGAGTACATCTATCATTTCCCATAACCTGCTATGTTATTCAAGTATGGATCTGCAATAGGAATTCCTTCTGGTTTAAAAGTGTTGGTTGATGGATTCAATGGTGTGTCTTCTCCTGTAGGACGAGGCGCCCCACCTTGTAAACCCGCTTGTTGAGGCTTTTGTGTCCCGTCATGCTGCAAGTTTGGAATCAATATCACAGGGAAAGAGTTCTTGATTTATGTCCATGCCATTTAGGTACGCCTCTGCCTCAAACGTAAAGAGCGAACAAGGCAAGTCCAATCAAACATTTCTCAATTTCATGTCCGTAGTTGTCATCAACTCATCAATGATCTTCCATTTGCGTGACCGAATTAAATATCAAAGGAATAAACCCATCACGATCGTATGGGTCTTAGAATGTCAGACAGATTTCCATCTAAGAAAAGTTTGCTTCAAAAACAGTTTCTAGCTTGAGTTTGGTTTAAAACATTCATGCGTGTCTGTATGTTATGGCTTAAATATACTACTTGATGCTTTGAACCCTCAAGTGCTTCATTGATTGTTGTTTTTGTAGGCAGGTGAAGTTAGGGGTGTTCCAAAATATCCGACCTGAATAATCCGTCTAGTACTCGGCCTGATCCCAACCAAAAAATGTATATTCAATCTGGTATTTTTTACTTTTGGATCGGATATGGATTAAAATTTTAGAATTTCGGATATCCGAGGTGCATAAAAAAAATCGTTCCAAGCCTTGCGTTGAAATCTAATCGCACTCACACTTCACTCTTCCTTACGTTCAAACATCAAAGTTAATACTTATCCACAATCAGACCTCATCCTTCCTCCCCCTTCAAACCTAAATCTAGATGCCTTTCAATCCTGAGGTTTGTGTCAGGTTTTACTTAAGGTTTTTTTAATTTAGAGTGACAATAAAGGAGTAATTATCTTTTCAAATGTGTGCAAAGAAGCCTCATTACAAGCCCTATTGCACAAGGAATGACCGCGATCGTTGTGCTTCAGCACTAAAGAGGAAGAGTGGTATGGACACAGGTGGAATCAAGACGGTGGAAAAGTGTCTATTTAGTAAGATCTCACTCTTTTGGGATCTTGCTAAAAAGGCAGTTTTCTTCCGTGTCGATTCCACCTATGTCCACACCACTCTTCATCTTTGCAGTTGGAGCACGATGGCCATTCCTTGCACAATAAGGCTCCTGTTGAATCACCAATCATATTGATATGTAGAACAATTTAAATGTTAGGTTGACACAATATAAGATTTCTTAATGTGTTAGATTCATACTTAGTTGTCTTTCTAATTTTGTGTCTAGATTATTTTGTTCTTTCAATTATTTCTTTGACATGAAATTTCTTGTCACAATATTTTGCCTTTTATGAATGTGGTGTGTGGTACGATTTTATGTTGGTAAATCACATTGTTTGGCATTTTGCTGTGTTTTTGACATTATATACTGACATGTTTGGCATTGTTCAGTGTCATGTTTGTCCATATGCACTATTATTTTTGGCATTATAGCTTCGGTTCACATCATATATTGACACGTGGCATTGCGGTGAGGACTAACAAGAATTTTTCTTAATGGACCAGCACGAATTTAAAAAAAAAATAATTTTTGGTCTTATTTTGAGGATAAAAACATGTGAGACCTATTTTTGTTCTTTCTTCATGTTTTATTTCTATTTTGTTTTTTTCCTTATTCTAAAAGGCAGGCTAGACCGATGAAAACGAAATTATCTAAATACATTATTTTATAATAATTGGTGTGGGGGGAGAATATTGATATGAATGAAAGTTGCAGAAATGAAGGTTTTCTTGTTTAAAATATACTGGGCATGAGACTATGAGAAACAAAACAACGATTCGGTAGTTTAACAAATCGCGTAAACGTTTTCGGATCAAAGTTATTTCGAGATATATCAAAATACTTTTATCGGATAAGATGTTAATCAAGAGCTTGCACTCCGAATTTGTCATCAACCATAGCAGCGAGACTTTTAGAGAGTTGAAAATTGGAGACCAAACATGAGCGTTGGCATAAAGATGTGAATGTTCGCGCGTAGAAAGAAACACGAAAGTCTATAAATGTTCTCAAGAAAAGTTTTCTGCGGTTTTAGGATCGATATAAATGTTCCACGAGTCCTTAAGGTTTTGGACTCCGGCCAGAGGCTATGCCCCTTGGACCCCGCCAGGAGTTGCCGCCCCTTAGACCCCGCTATAGGGGCTGCCACCCCGACCCGCGCTATGAATTTGTAATATCGTTGAACGAGTTCGTGCTCCGCACCTTTTAACTCGTTAGACAACGTCTATTCAAATTCTTGTCCGATCTAAGTAAACTCAATTATACAAAAATAGTTGATGACAATAAAATCACCAACAAATTTATCCCATTTTTTCCAAGAATCCAAATCAAATGCACACTAAATCAACTTTCGTTATTTGGTTGATCTCTCATTGAAGATGGAAGGTTAATCACCATTATAAGCCATATTGGAGAATGAAGAATACTAGCTGTAGCAAGAGTTCTACATGGACAAAATATACTCCCTTTGTCTCAAAAAACGACTCCTAATTTGATTTGGTACAAAGTTTAAAAAGAATAAAATTATGTAGTTTAAAATTATTCGAGACACAAAGATAGTTACCTGCAAAAAATTTCAAAAATGGAAAGATAATCATTTTTTGGAGACGTCCCGAAAAAAATGATTTTTATTTTGGAACAGAGAGAGTAGAACAGTATTAGTCAACAAAAATTTAGATTTTTAATTGTTTCTCTTTATGAGAGGTTGAACCCCTCCTCCCCTCCCGCATTTGTTTCGCTTTTTGTCCGAGTGACGTAGTTCCAGTGGTTGAGAGGTTGTGTCAAAAGAAATAATAATCTTAGGTTCAACTATTGGTATGAACAATAAAGAATAACTATATGACCTACACGGAGTCTTGTACGTACTAAAAACAAATCATGTTTCCTAACAAATCATAAATATCCTGTTGTGAAAACGTCTCAGATAATATTTTTCGATGTGCCACGACTCACGAGAAACTCTACTCTCCTTCTTAGGAAAAAAGGAACTCTAACAGTTTCACATTTTTGTATTCTATTTCGTGAATTTCAATCTTCTATCTCTTGTCACGATTTTTTTTAACCTTTGCTTGTTCCTGTAAGACTGTCGCCCAAAGAGTGCCTAAACACCATGGTTTTTCGATGTTTCATCTGGATGCTGGAATTACTTTTTATGTTTCAAAGCTATATTTAGATGATGGAAAGTTATTCTGGTGTTAAAATGGATATTTTGTAAGAGTTTTTTTAAAAATTTATGTTGAGCAAATGGATTTATATCCACACCATAGAATTCATCTAATTCAATAAATCTTATACCATTAAATCCAACTAACACCTAGAAAATTCTATACGACACAATCAACCGAACACAATAAATCTACCTAATAAAATATCTCACCTAACATAATAAATTTATCAAACAAAAATATCTCACCTAACATAATAAAAAATCCTGCACCTAACTCATATTAACTACTATATATTTGGGACTTTACTCTCGCACTTTTACCATCTAAATATTATACTTTCAAATATTTACTCACTACTTTTCTTTACATTGTCAAATAATGGCCTGAGATGGTAGTTTTATCATTCTAGCCTATTGGAATGGTGACCTAAAAATTGAAAACAATGAACTAGAATACTCTTTGCATTCAAACAAAGCTTTTGTATTTGATCTTGATGTCTCATTCGATGAGGTCTTCAATGAACTCCTCGATGGCATTGCCGATGAAGGCGTCATAGTGGTACTTAGTTAATTTAAGAATTTCTATGTGTGATTTTCTAAATATGTACAACTTTAATGCTTCTGTACTTTAGCAGTTTGATTTTTAAATTTTTATACTTTAAATATGTGTGATTTTTAATATTTAGTACAGTAGTTTGTTTAATTTCTATTTTAAATTGAATACTTCTATACTTTAATAATTCTTAAGATGTTCTCAAAAAAATCATGCATCATTCAATCTATCTAACATAAAAAAACCAACCTAACAAAAAAATCATACATCATTCAATCAACCTAACCCAATAAAGTATATAATAATATTAAAAAAATACTCCCTCTGTCCCAAAAAGATTTACACGTTTCAAAAAAATTATGTCTCACAATCCCTAACTCATTTCTATTAAAAACCCACTTTTACCCCTTACCTTTTCAAACCCTACTTATCACATCAAGGGTATTTTTGGAAAGTCAACACAAAATTATCCCTTCCTTAATTTCAACTTTAGTCAAAATGGGTAACACTTTATGAGACGGAGGGAGTATACCATACAATCAACCTAACATAATAGCGCATTTGTGCGGATCATAAGATTACCATGTGCGGATCAAAATATACATATGTGCGTGGATTAAAATTTATGAAATCTTTTTATTTTAAAAAAGCCTATTTAGATTTTTTAAAACAACAAAAAAATTAACAATTAATTTTTTTAAACTACAAAAATAAAATTATGACCAAACGGTAGATTATCTACCGTTTGAAAATTTTAAAAGACGAAACAGTAGATCATCTACCATCTCTACAAGGAAAGGTTTTTTAAAAATGACACTGATCCGGAATTGACCCAACCAAAATGGGGTTTTGGCCTTATTGTTACAGGAGTATTACTATTTGCTTTTATTCCTTGACAATTCCTTTATATCTTTGTTTTTTGCACCCCAATCCATAAACTAGGAACTCTAAAAAAATAGCAAAAGATAATTGAGATTTTTCACTGATACATTTGGTTAAGATTTACAGAAGTATCAACGATTCGATTCATATCCTGAAACGTGCAGGGAAGCCAGAACAAAAACAAGATTTTCAAATTGCAATGTGAAAATGACCTTTATCTTGTATGAAATCCAAACCAAATATGTACCTTACCTTATGTGCAAAACTATATCATATTTTCCTCTTTGATGTGAGTCTCTCACCCTGAAATGTATTGCCACAAACACTCGGAAGCCGGTTTGCTTGAAACTGTACAGCAGCTGGAAAAGGCAAAGAAATCTTTGCAACCTGTATATGCATTGCTCCGTATTATAGCTTATATCACCCCTCCATATAATCTAACAATGCAAACTTTGTGTGCAAACCGATTCTCCCACCTTCGATAACCAACTTAGCAGCAGTCACCAACCAATGCCCAGGAGCATCACTTGGTCCACGTACAACCTCAGTTGTATCGACATATTTGAGAAGCTTTGTTGAATGAATGGGCACTGGGGGTCCATTAGGATACACGCCAGAGTTTATATTTGTTGCAAGCTTAGGAGCTGCATCGGTGACTGTTCGTTGGGTGAGTGTGAATGTTGTGCTCAGATTCGTTAGGAAATTTGACTTGCGAGAAGCTTCGGGTGCAGCAGCCCACTCTGTTTTGCGAATGCTGCAGTTGGGTAGGTGTGTGTAGAGTAGACGGAGATGAAGATGTCGCTTTGGCCAATTTCCCTTGCTGATGAGCTGGGCCCCGGTCACCACAAAGACCCCGCCGCTGGAATCCAAAGCATCTATCCAGTTTGGATCGTGTTTGACTACTGACGAGCACACCTTTGCAAAACTCTTCCATCTGACTGCCTCTAAGAATTGATCGCTGCATTGGTAGTCATCAGAGCCTCGCCATCGGCATGCCTTGGTTGCACCAGGGTTTGCCAGATTTTGTGTAAAAATGTTTGGTAGACTTGAAAGATGTTGCACATGTATTGCTAGTCTGTTACACTTCTGCCCTTCCAAATATAGGCGCATGCCAACAACTGGTTTTTGACAACTCGAAACCTTTAAAATTTCAAAATGACATGCCACCGTGTCACTCGTAATATGTACCAATTTACTCTTGTCGAATCTCAGAGAAAGATGGTGTGTATAATCCATGATGGCATAGTTTAATAAATGCCGTCAAGAAATTACCCTGATCTTTAAACTATTTTGGAACTCAGAACACTCAGTGTAAAGTTAACATATCCGATTTGATTCGTTTAATATCCCAATAAGGTAAATGGTCATTTGAAGGATAATTACAATGCTGACTAGTAGCTCTGGGAGAAGAACTAGTATTTATGAATGTTGCAAGTTAGAATGTAGTCCTACTTTTGTCACATAGAGCCACAAACAAAAGTTACCTGAATAGAGTTCACTTCAATCTTTGGACCAAAGAGACTAAACTGCAATGAAGGGCATGAGACCTTTCTTCTTTGATGCCCTAGTGGCAGCTCACAGAATAAAGGTGCCCACTGTCTAGGAATTTGGAACTCGAGAAAATACTGTAAATCCTCCAGTGCAGGTTTGTCTCGCAAATAGACAAAGGATCCAATCAGTACTAACCAGAAATCATAATGTTGTCAACATAAACACATCATAAAGCATGAGCCTAGGGCAGACACAGTCCTAGTCTGGGGACTGTAGCCTTTTTCTGATCCTCAATCACTTTTTGGGGGTGGAACCCCCCACCCCACGGGTCCCCAATGCCCGTGCCCGCGGGGATGGTAGGGGAGGAAAATTGCGGGATTTGTCACAGACAGTCAGGGTCTGGTCCCAGAGTTTGCGCACTGATCTCACCTACGAGGGAGCCAATTCCACAGCCTTTCCTGGGAATCGAAATCCCCACTCCGCAGACTGCCAGCTTGGCAGGTGTAACACCACTCTGGGTGTTCGCCGCTAGCCATGCCCCGGGGGCGATCCTGAATCACTTTGTGATAGCATAGACCAATGTTAACCACTAAGGGCCCACTTGGTGAGGGCAGGAGATATGGGTATATATCAACCTTGCATGGTGTTTGGTCATCTTTGGTGAAGCCTAAAAGAGGTTCTGATTTGATATCTTTCAATCTCACAACCCTCTCAAATGAGGTGTTTTGATATCTCGCGATTTAAGGAGATATCAATCCGGGGTTTTGATATCCCTCAACGGCCAGCCACCACAGATACAGATAGCCACCTGCTGCCGGCCACCCACTGTCATCAGCCACCTGCCTCCAGGGCTACCTACTCCCTGCTGGCTACCCCGGCCACCCCCTGCTTGTCACTAACAACCATATCAGATTTAAGATCTCTCCAAACACTTTCATTTAATATTTCCAAACTCATATTTTTTCTTCCATATTTCAGAACTCATATTCTTCCATCTTCTCCGGTGGAGCCAAATATTCACTATTATTTGGCTTTGGAGTAAGATGAATAAAGCAAAATGACTCTTGAACTATTTGTGCTTTTGATAGTGGAGTGATAGTTAGTCAATGCAACTTTCAACGCTCTGCATGGGTCATCTGGAACCAGCCGCTCTAGGTTTTAACATAGGGGTCAGGCTGCGTACATCCGACCCCCCCCCCTCTTACCCCGCAATGGGCGGGAACCTTTGAGGCACTTGGGTAATGTTGTATTTCAAACTCATATCATATTAACCCTGTTGCACTCACCAAAAGGGCCCTAAATGTGTTTTCAAGTATGGTTGGTCATTAGTTAAGAGACATCAGACTCAACATTAGTTGGCCAACGTTCTTAAGCAATAGCATGGGGCAGGTATTTGATTGGAAAAATTGTGTACATACACAAGTGTGTCAAAACTAGAGCAGAGCAGACAACATATAAAAAAAAAAGGCAGGAGTGTGTAAATTCAAAGAAATGTAGAATACTTTGTAAGGCTTACAACGAAGGTACAAGTTTATTGCATGACTGAGGTATCCACTCCCAGGAATTCCAGCAAGCAGAGAAGTAATTGGGACAAGTTTGAAAAGGATTCCTTCTGGGTTAGCAGCCAGGGTCTGGAGCCATTTCATATGGCTTTGAGCAAATACATCACCTCCTCGTTTTGACCATATAATTGTGAGACCCTGATACAGCCATCTCATAAGCATCTGTCGCATTTTTTTAAATAATTTAAGGTCACAGGTGTCTTACATCTTTGCTAGAAGTTTCAGTGATGCTAGTGAATTGCATTGTATGTGACTGCAACATGCGGCTAAATACCTCAGGTACCTAAAGAGTTAGAGCATTGATTAAATTCACACTTTTCTTTAAGCACACATTACATGTGCACAACTGCACCTATCAAAAAAGAAGATAAAACTAGTCTACTACATATGAGTATTACCTTTATTTTACCATCTCTTCTACTTGTCTCTGGCAGAGAACTTGTTCCATCAGAGAACAGACAATCACCAAGATCATCCAAATATCCTTTGAGTTCAGCAGGTGGAATAGATGAAGATGGTTTCTGTTTAACACAGAGTAAATCCTGGCCTCCAATGCCCATCCCCACAATTATGTGTGTCCCATAAGTCTGAATGAATCTATGTACAGTAGGATAATTAGCAACCATAGATTCATAGCTACCAAGCATAGATGATATACACAACATTAGGGAAAGTATAAATATCACCCCGTCTCATTACACACTGTGTGCGCGTGGCTGGCGTGGGTGTGTATATATGTATGCATATATATATATATAGTGTCAATGGGTACTCCAAATAATGCACATCCATGGTTACTTATTTTCAAATGTTAAATACGAAGTCTAATGCATGATCTATATTTTGATATAATATAGGCCATTAAATATCTTTCTTAAACCTTTTGTTATAACCTTAAGGGGAACTTATTCAGAACAAAGGGAGTATAATTTTAATTTTTCTATTCACAAGCAATTTAATTTATAAGAAATCACCCTAAATAGGAGTAAAACATAGAGAAAGTACCAAAATAGGAGCTCCATGTTTTTATTCCTAAAATTAGAGTTTGCACTATGATAATGTGGCACTGTATGCGGACATTTGACAATACTTTTTGGCATTGTACATTGGCATGATTGGCATTGTATACGCATTTTAACTTCTATTTTGGGAATAAAAACATGGAACTCCTATTTTGCTATATTTTTTATGTTTTACTCCTCCTTTAGTCTTTTTCCCTAAATATATTTTAAAAGTTAAATTGGATATAAATGATTTGAGCCATGCAACAGCCAACATGTGTGATCCCCTTTAAATTAGGGCGAGTAAGTAATAGTTAATTAGCTACATGAACAAATGCAATCTCCTATGCAATAAATTTAATTTATATGCATGACATCAGAAGACAAAAACAGTTCATATCATTTTTGTTAAAAGTGAAATACCTAATTATATAGAAAAATGTTCATGCTGCACCAATCTCAACAATATGACTAAGAGAAGTGCATGGTGGTAGAGGCTCTAGATATATCCAAAAATACTTTACATGTTGGTTAATAGAAGGAACTCCTGTTTCAATAATGATCAAGGTGTCTTGGCAATGTTCTTTCAATCTTACTCAATAACTACATGTAATTAATAGTATCACAATCTAAATATTTTAGAGGGCTAATTAATTCTTAATCAAAGCTATGCCAAGCAGTAGAGCTACTACCTACCACATCGATCACATTTTATTGGCATTTTTACATGACACATAGCTTAAGAAAACTCAGTCAAATCATTAAAACACTTGTAATATTCCTCTAACACTCCTTACACAACTGGTGCATTTCCGCTAAGAACAGCATTGAGGAATTAATTCTTTTTATAAGGATTATCAAGATAACATAAAAATTTACAGAACCTACCGAGATAACAATGATGGGTCCCAATGCGGTGGAACATCATTTTTCACTTGGTCTTGAAGTAGTAGTGGAGCTGTGGTCAAGTGCAAATAATATAATGACACAAAATAACCATCAAAGGCAAGATATTTGGCATCCGAGGCATCATTCAGCCATGATCCACTCAAGTCAAAAATTGCATTTAGATAGCCAGATGGGACTTTTGCCTGCACTGATGATTTCTGATTAAGCAATTCTGACATCTGCAAAAGAAAGGAGGCAATGCATTGGGTTTACCAGTGTCATATTGGAGAAAATGAGTTATGCAGAAATTGCTACTAGTAGTCTAGTATTGAAAAAACAAATCCATTATAGAATAAAGATTACTGAAATCATACAAGCACCCTGAAATTCAAAGGCTATATAAGAAGTTGCTCCATAGCCTGCATATCATCATTTTACAGTACTTCCACTTGAAAATCAGAAAATATTAGTCTAGACACATTGTAGGTCATGTGTGCAAATAAGGGAGCTAATTAGAGTTGTCAGTGACCAGTCCCTGATATGAAGGACTTGGTATAAAGGGAGTAGAAAAGTGAGGAAAGCAAAACCTATGCAAAGCCTATAGCTGTTTTACATGCGGCAAAGATAAATATTTAATATTTACTCCCTCCATCCCCAAATTCAATTCACGCTTCCATCCGTCCCAAAATAAGTTTCACACTTCTCTCATTTCACCTTAAAAAAAAGAATGTGGCTCACAATATTTCTCTCTTCTAAACAAACTTCAACCACTCTTCACTTTTCAACACTTTTCTTAAACTTCATGAAGTCAAACTATGAATTTCATTTGGGGACAAGGGAGTATACACATAATTTATATCAATATTTCCCCTCAAATTGGTGCATACATTTCACAAGCACCAAGTTTATTACATATGTAGATAACTTTGTAAATAAGCTCAGCCTTAGCTATAGGCACACACCACAACCTAGGCCTATCTCTTGGCCTCAAATTGTTTAGTGGCTCATTTTTTTAACAGAAGAGTAGACTTAGACCAATTTATCTTTAGTAATATTAGTATTTTAAATACAAATAGTCTCTAGAAAATTCTTTGTTGATTAATCCATCGTATCATTTAGTGGTAGATTTGAGCAATACATATTATATCACATTACATCATATGACCTTAATGGGTTGGATTTATTTTCTGGGTCAATAGTTTTAAAATAAATAATTCTAAATGAAATAAAAGAACCAGTAAAAGTTAATTTAAATTAAAATTTAAAAATTGGATTCATCTCAAAATGTTTGGATTACTTGTATAATAATGTTAAATATACATATTAGAAATAGAATTGCTTCAGCAATGAGTTTTTTTCGAAAAAGAAGTTGATAAAATCATTTTTACGTTAAGCAATTTCAAAAGAAAAATTAAATGGATTGATGATCATTTTTATTGAAAAATAATTGGTGTCAAAACTTGAGTGCAAATTTATATAAACGACTTTGCATCACAAAAAACAAGTTAAATGCCAATTGAATGTTTGATTAAATTGCATGTTCGTTGTCCATTGATAATTTTATTGATTGAAAACGGATCTCGAATTTGATAAGATAGTAATCCGCCCATACCAGATTATTTGTCCAAATTGACATCGAAGTTTCATCAATGAAATGAAAATGTATTGCATATTAATACAATGAAATAGTACTTTGCAAGTTTTTTGTAAGATAAATATCATGAATTCATTTTTATATTAATATGCAATATAGTTTTTATTTAATTAATGACCAAAATTTGTACAATTTGACTAAAAAAGTCCAACATGACGAATACTCTAAGACGGAGGAAGTATAATTCAAGATTCTCTCTTTCGAATAATATAGCATTATTATATTTTTGTAATTATCGTTAGATCTATTTCTGTAATTTTATTTTAGTACTTCATAATATGATTGTATTAATTTGTATTTTGAAAATTGTTCGGTGTGTGTGTGCGCGTGCGCCTATACAGACCAACACTACCATTGTCTAGGAATCTAGGCTTTGGCTGCGTAAGGACTCACTTTCGCTACGATGGTCATGTTCAAAGAGACTCGGTGAAGATATTTATAAGCTCGTCTTGGAAGTGACAAATGACATGTTGATTCCTTGAATAGAATCGTGTCCTTAGGTTGTGTTTGGTAGTAGGGGATGGGAGGGGAGGGGAATGAAAGGAAGGATAGCGATTAAAATACTTTTAAAATTCATCCTCCACCCCCCTTCCCTTCCAACCAAAACAGATCCTTAATGAAATGATGATGAGCTCTATATTGTTAATTCTTTCATGAAAAGTAGGATTCAAGGCAATATGTATAGCTGCTTGAGTACCAAAAATTAAGTTCAGTAAGCTTATTCTACAATATCTTAGCTCGTGGAGTAAATACTTGAACCAAATGACAGTATGACACACGGTGAGAGCTATGCACTTCATCTTGCTACAACACCATGCTTCTCTCTATGAAATTAGATTAACTCCAATGAAAACACAATAAGTTGATTGCGATTTTTTAAAATGCAGATGTCAGAATGACTTTTTTCTATTTCTAAATAAACAATAATGTTGCAATGACTCTTTTCTCATATAGATCATAGAGACTAAGATTTTTTTAAATGCAGATGACTACTTTCCATGACATTCACTATGAGAATTAAGACATTGAATCACAACATTTGTTGCAAAGCAGCAAAGTTATACCTAGTTAGGTTTTGGAAAAATGATTTAGCTTGCCTTGAGTATGCGATACAATTTTGGACCACCTTTGGTCTAGTGTATGTTAAGTATTTGGATCCATATGTTAAAAAATCATTGATAAGTTTTTTTCAAGATTTCGAGTGCATGCTTCATTTGACATTCTGAGATACCTGTTTTGAATTGAACCTCAATACCAAGAAAGTATCTTAGATTGCGTTCCATTGGCCTAATCTGATCTGCTTTTTTAAAGATCTTATCTCATCTGATCTGATTGGATTTGATCTGCTTAGATCTAATCTGCTCTGATCTAATGTGATTGGACCTGATCTGATTGTATTTATATTTAAAGCAATTTATGATCTGATTAGATTATCTAATTTATTAGATCTGATTAGATTAGATCAGATTAGATCTGATCTAGTCTGATATGATTTAAAAAAATAAGTAATAAGTTAAACAATAAGTGGAACAGGACAGACCCTTAATCTCTCTATATCGTTTCTCAAAAATGTTTTGAAAATTGTTGTTTGATTGGAACTTCCTTCATAGTCAATACATGTAATATTGTAATCAAAATGTTGGGCACATAAGCAACGAGGAAAATAGCTTTATAAGTTGTTGAGTTTTCAAGAGCACAAATTTCCTCAAGACTTGATTGGACCTTCCAAACTAATGAATTGGAAGAAATTGAAAAGAGTTGAATGAATCAGAAAAAAATGGAAGAATTTAGAAAAACTTGAGTTGAAAGAAACCAAAAGAAGTCGGAAGAAATTAGAAAGAGTTAAGAAGTTGGAAATTAAGAATTATAAACCAAATGATCAGAGCATTTGGTCTATTCCATTATTTTTGTAAAACTAAACATTACTACCTGTGTCTCATATCAAAAAGTTCTAGTTTCATTTTACCATATTTTACTGAAATTATTTTTAATTCAATTTATATGAAAATTGAAGTGATATTGTAAAATAACAATTACATATTTAAAAACCACGTTAAATGTTCTATAAAACAAAATATAGCTTGAACTAATGTGGAATCTTTATGTGAAACATAGGGTACAAAGATATGGAGAATGGGTAGTCATACACCATTAATTTTGGGTATAATATTGTGACACAAGCTCATTTGGCGCCCTACCATGCTCGAATCCCAAAATTACTAGTTCCTACCCCCTTATGCACCGGTAAACCCATCCAACCCAGCCTGTCCCTCACGCACCTCTTCCAATTGGACAGCCCAAATTTTGGTCAAAATTTTCACCCCAAAAGTCAATAAAATATAATTGGTGCAATTGGAGAGGTTGCATTATTGACGGGCCGTGCTAACAAGGTTTACCGGGGTAGGAACCGTCAATCTTGGGATTCGAGGGAATGCTAATTGAGTTGGTGTCACAATCTTACACCAAAGTAATGGTGTAAGATTACCTCCTCATAAAAGCATGATATTTTGAAATTATATTTCAAAATGACTTTAACCCCTTTAAATCTACATTATAACCTTCTTTAGCAACAAAATTCTGTGAATTATGATCATGAAAAGTGAAGCAGTCAAACTACATTGGCACAACAGGAGTATGATTTATCTAGCTCAAATCACTTTAATGTTCAAACTTTACAACTTCACATAGAAATTGATGGTGAATGAGAAAGAAACGATTCACTCATACTGTGAAAACCGCATACCTGATTAAACTCGAGAACGTCCGACTTGAACCGCACGTGGTCCCCCTTATCACAGCGAATATTCTCGGATACGTCGGGGATGATCGCACCTCCGCCGGGCACGACAAGGTCCCGCCGGTTCGTCTCGTCGAGAATAACCAATCTTCCTCCGGCGGGGCACCTCTTAACGAACTTCAACCGGAAGTCACTGGCGAAATCGAAGCCGCAGCCAAGGGCCTCCATCGCCCTGACGGCCGTCGGTTTCCTCGCGCCGTCAGTGGCTGCCGAGTGGAGCTCGTACATGGCGCCGACCTCACTGATCGATGGGAAGCCAGAAAAGAAGTCCCGCAGAGACGATCGGAGTAGGAAATGGAAGGTAGAGAGGAGTTTCTGGATTTGGACTGGAGAGGGGAAGGTAAGCTGTCTTGTGTTGATTTCAGTGGATTGCAAAATTGACAAAGTGAAGAGAGAGAGGTACGCTAACAACATTTGACCTTTGACCGGATGAACTTTCCCTCAGGATTGGACTGGTCGTCGAACACGGGTAAATGGATCAGATCAACCATTTAATTTTTTGAAAATTTGGTTTTGTTTTATCTAGTGATTTAATTTTAATTGTAATTGTTTTTAAAATTGTTTTTATCTAGTTTGATTTGACTTGATGTAATCTAATTTAATTTTAATACGAATAAATAATAAACTGAAAAATAAATTGAACAGATTAGAAAATGGAATAAAACGGTTGAACCGAATCAACGACTTGATCAACGTTTCAATTGATGCTAGTAAGAGCATCTCCAATCATCTTACTTTGGCTTGCTAAAAGCCATAATATAGCAAGTCAACACATTTTTCTCTTTTCTAATGGGCGTGTCAAATTTTAGTTAACTTGCAAAAAATAACTTTGGCTTGATAAATAGAACAAGCTCTCCTAATTATAGGGAGTCAAGAGTTATTAAATGAATTAACAAGTCATGATTGGAGAATTGAACAAAATATCGCTTGCTATGTCACTATTCACTTGTTAAAATAGAAAAATAGCAAAACAAGGTTGGAGATACTCTAAGTATAGTCATATACGAAGTACTACTTTGGGTATTTAATACTCCCTCCGTCCCAAAAAGAATTATTTCTTTACTATTACGATCTCTCGATAACTCATATTTGTTGCGTGTTTTCATTGATCATTTGAAAAAATAAAATATTTTTATTACATCTTATTTTGTAGAGTTTTTGATGTAGTTTTAAATATAAATTTTTTGTTTTGTATTTCTTTACCAATTTATAAATAAAAAAAATTAAAAGTCAATGAGTTTTGCACGTTGATCAAAGTAGGTAATTCTTTCTGGGATGGATGGAGTATATTTCATACATATAATATGTTGATTAAAATTAGAAAATATAGAATAAAAGAAAATTTCTAACATATTAAATTATGAGCAAATTCTATAAATAGTTTTTTATATTATGAAGTTTTTTATAATATATTATCTTTGCAGTCCTTTATTATTGGATATTTTTCCATAAATAGACCTCCGTCTAACATTCCATTCCTCTGACATTAAGCTGATGATACAAATATAATTTCACAAAAATTGTTGCTCTAGTAGAGAGATTTGAGGAGGGCAGCAAGTGAAGGGACTTTGTTGGAGAGAAATTGTCCTTGGAGCTCAAACACATTGAAGTGATACCGCCGCCCCTCGAGAATCCGTTCTTCCACCACACTACCTAGGTTCCGTCGCCGCACCACCCGCTTCGTGACCCCACATACCTTCTAGGCTCGCCACCGACAAACACACCACCACTCCCCACTGGTAAAATAAGAAATTTGTACTATATATGTAAATATTACTCCCCTTGTCCCTAAATGATCGTCCCTTTTCAAAGGACGTGCTAAATTTTATCTCTTTTAAAATGAATTTATTTACAAATTGGTATAGAAATATAAAGAAAAATTTACATATTTAATACGAATATAATACATAAAAAATTCTACATAATAAGCAGTGACATGTTTGTTCTATTTTATTAAATAATTAATGAAAATGCATACGCAAACAAAAGTTATCGAGATTCTTAAATATCAAAATTCCTAAATAATAACAAAACCCCTATACCTTGTTTTTTTAAGATGATAATTTTAGATAAACAATATGTACTTCCTCCGTCCCTGAGTATTTGTCCACTTTTGACTTTTTTGGTCAAAATTGGTAACCTCATATTAAATAAGAAAGATATTACATACTAATACAGAAATAATTTTATTGTATTTATTATATCAATTTTTAAAATATTATTTTATATAATTAATATACAATATACGGAGTATATTTCATTTAATTATAGGTCAAAAGTTAAAAACAGTTGACTGAAAAAAATCAAAAATAGACAAATACTCATAGACGGAGGTAGCATCCATTTTTTCATAAAAAATAATCAATGAGCATTTTTGTTTGGACTATATAAATTTGTAAAATAGCTACGTAATACAAACATGACTTTAATTCTATGAATATGGCCATAATCCTTCAATTCCTTCTAAGCATTAACCCCAAGCTCCAATTCTATACTTTATTTTTCAAGTGTGTTCAAAGGCTTTGTTTTTCATTATTTATATTTTGACTTTTAGGTCTTGCTTTTTTCTTAATTTTATAAACACACATTGAGCTTGTGTTATTTTAGAGAGTATAATCTCCAATCCGTTCTTCACAGGTCAATGATGTATCTTTTTCTTTATCATAGGTCAAAAGGGTGTTGAACATTTTTCTGTGTTTTTAGACACATCTTTCACTCATTGTAATGGTCAAGTATAGCAAAAAAAAAAAAATCCTTGTGTAAACGGTTAATGATAGCCAAGATATCCTTGGGTAAAAGGTTCAAGGATAACCCTTCAAATCCTTGGAGAAAAAATGGAAGAAGATAACCTTCAAATCTTTGTTGTAAATGATACGAGATAGCCGTTGTGAAATCTCTGTTGAATCCTATTGGCAAGGGTTGTTGCCAAATCTAGTACGGTGCTTTGATAGAGTTCAAGAGATCGACACTTAATTGATTCGGAAATCCATAAGGAGGAGCCTTAAGGTATGAGAATAGGAAGTTCTCGAACTAGTATAAATCGGTGTATCTTTATTTTACGTTTTAAACTCTGTTTTATCAATTATTGCTTCCGTTCTTTCTAATCACTGACTTTATTAGACTTTATTAAACTCCAAATAGTTTTTAAACGCCTTACTCACTTCTCCCTCTCAGGCATGGGCACATCGACTAACAACTTTAAGTTTGCAAAACAAAAACACATTGGAGACCATTTGAAATCACAAATTCAAAGTCAAAATTGATTTCGAATTAATTGGGGCACTTTGATATTTCCCTCCGTCAAAAAATTCTTTCTTGGTTTAACTTGACATGAAAATTAAGGAAAGTCAAAAAAAATAAAAAATTTGTATGTATTGTCCTTGATGTAATGGAAAAAAAGTGAATAATATAAATAAAAAGTATGGATATAATGTCACATTTATTAATTGTTTTTTGGTAGAATAAGAACAGGAAGAAATTTTTAAACGATCCAAAATGAAAAGTGAGAAAAAGATTAAAGAGGGAGGAAATACAATTTAAAGGCGCTACTCTAGAAAAGTCAAAATTGATCTGAATTAATCGATATACTCCGTATGTTCTTTTCTTGAGATTGTCTCTATTTTTTAAGAAGGTTTTTTAATTTCATTATAAAATAAAGAATTTATGGCCTACATTTTTTTTCTCTTTCATTCAATCAAATTTAAACTATATTTTTTTAATACGGAGTATTTGTTTAAACCACGTAAAGTCAAACTATCTAACTGAAATTTTAACGAGTTGAGTACGATCAAACTTTAACAATTTTCATTATCTATTTTTGATACTTGATTATTTGATAAAATAATATAGTCATGTCAGCACTTATTTTATATACTCTCTCCGTCCCACTCTCTTTGTCCACTTACGTTTTGGCACACCATCCAATGCACTTCTTTAATCCATTTTATCTTATAATTTGTATATTAAAAAATTATAGAAATTATATATTAATAATTTATATGTTAAGACAAATCAAACAAGATTACACATGATTATATTTAGGCTTACACATTGAGAGAATTTGATGAGTCAAAGTGCTTAGATGAACAGTTCCAAAAGTCAAAAGTGGACAAAGAGAGTGGGACGGAGGTAGTAATTTTTAAATATACAAGTTTTATTTTTAAATATTTCACCAAGTTACATATAAAATGAATTGAGAAATAAATTTAATCTAATCAAATTTTGTGAGGGTTGTTCAAACCAACAATTCACATTTTGTTAGTGTTAGATGGGCGGGCCAGGTCAAATGACCACACTTGGAGCACGCACATGCATGCACGTTGCGAGGCAGCTACGACACGTGTTCGTTCATGCAAGCGTCTGCGGCATACGACGCCGTTTTCTCGCCTCCCCCAAGTATCTAACTATCTAGTCTAGTCTATAGATAATGTATACTTACTGTATAGTCTGCAATATATAATCACATTTGTATAGGACCCGAAAAATTAATTACGAGTAATTAGTACGAGTAAAATGGAAGTTCCCGGCGAAGGAACCCACAGCGGCACCGCCATCCTGGAAACCGCCACCGCCGCCGTCCAGAGCTTCGCCCCTATTAACAAGATCCACCACCACCTCTGCGCGTCAGTACTCTTCCGATCCCTCCCTAATTGGGGACTTTCCTTTTTCAATATTTCCCTTATAAAAATGCAGAATTTATTAACACAAAGAATATTTGAAGTGTATAATACTCCGTACTATGTAGAGAGTTAAAAAAAACTGATTAATAATGCGTAGTAATAATATTAAAAGAACGACCTTTGATAAATTTGTGTGCTTTTAGTATTTCCGATATTATTGTGAGGTTGAATGTTCATAACAAACTGGCATCGGAGGCAAGGTTTTTCAACACGAACGCAAATTGTGATATTGAAGTCCCTGGATTTTTTTTCAAGATCGAGAAGAACGCAAATTGGCCGTTGCGTGTTGTTCCTCTACCAGAAGTCTGAAGGCGAGCATGGAGGTACTAGGGGAAACAAAGGATGTCGCTTTGTGGATCATGTTAGAAAGTTTTTACATGACAAAGATCGAGTCTTACTAGCATGCTGATTCTAAAGCAACAATTGTACACCCTACAGTTGACGGAAGGAACGATCCTCAAAGACCAATGCGTACCTTGACAAATTGAACACGATTTTGCTCAATCTGTACAATATGGAAGAAAAGGTGAATGATGAGGATGTACGTTACAGTTCTCATATTAATCTCGTTGCAACCTTCAGACAAGAACTCTTTATACTTTATCCTTTATAAGGACAGTATATCTCTAGAAGAAGTGTGATCAACTCTGCTCTTACACTCCAATTCGCATAACCCTAATACTTGGATTAGCGAACTCGTGGCTACAATCCTATGAGCGGATGCTTACAACCAGGGTGGGGTGGGGTGTTACAAATGATATTAGAGCAACCATAGGATCGTGATGGGCCAATGAGCCTAGTTCACCTAACGAGGAAGATCTAGGGGTTTCAAAAAAAGGTTGAAACTAGGAAGTTTCATTCATAATTGGGGGTGAACGTAATACCCTGAATTTGAAAATAAATAGATTTGGAAAAGAAAAGGCTCAAAAGGATTGATAGTACTACTCGTATCAACAAGGTGCATCTTATTTTAGAAATATCATCACCTAGAAACTCTAAAAATAGACGTACTTGACTTGGAGCAATTTTAAGATGGGTGACCCCCCTGAAAAGTTCCTTGGGCGCTCACAAGTGAGAACAAACAGTGGGGAAAGACTTGTGTTCATTTGTGGGGTCAGTCCACAATCATATGAGCCAAAGCTTACAACCAACATGGGAGACATGTAGAGCCTAATCTCTGAGGTAGTGGTGCAAGAGGTTCGATATCTTAATCCTGAAATTAGCCTATCAGAAGTGTGAGTATATGATTCTTGCATGTATCATAGGAAGTTGCATGAATGATCACATATTTCCCTAATTCTATATGTGGATGATATTCTTTGCAACTCAAAATATCAAGTACATTAGAGAATTGAAGAGGTCGCTCAGCATGGTTTTTGAGATGAATGATTTGGGGGCTGCTTAGAAAATTCCTCCTAACCCTGCGATAAACTCTCCAATCCAGATTGGCCTTAATGCAGCTCTGAAAATTGCACCTCAAAAAAAATTTCGAGTTTGGGGTAAAATATTTGACCCTAAAGTATCGTAGACAAAATTTAGGGACTAGAATTAATGGTGGTGCGAGATTGTGTTAGGTTTGAGTCAGATTAGGGATACGAACCATCATTTTTTATCGAAACATCGTAGGAGTGTGCACAATTCAGTAAATTGTCTAACTAAATCGAAACAAATAGTAATTAAGTTTTTTTAAGAGATTGGGGTTTGGTTCGGTTTCGCAAAATGAAATCAGTGTTTTGATATATAACGAATCTTGAATTCGTGTTAACCTTAACAATATAATTCTACCAAACCTAACTTAAATACGCTAATTTTATCGATCCGAGTCCACTAACCCCAGGGATTTACATTTGGACTTTGAAGGCTACATGAGCGGGTAGTGGGGCTTCTCAAATTATTGATTTCTATGGGCCCATTTAGTGAGATAAAAAGATATCAGATTTTATATCCCTAATATCAAATTTCTAAAATTAGTGTTTTAAAACCTAATAGATAGGTTGGACTTAAAAATCGGGAGATATGAGAACACCCAAAATATACCGTGTCTTGAAATAGGCTCTCATCTACCAATAGCACACACTAAAATCAGTTAAAATCAACTGCATCCATCACTTCCCTGATGTATGCATGTCATCTTTTTCCTTTAGTTCAAAATCCCTCACGTATTGCAATCACCCTTCCTCGCTTTTAGTGTTTTGACTTTTCTTTAATTTATTTATCATTTATCTCCTCCTTCACTTCGTTTATTTCAATTTATTATGTTCTCCAAACCAAGATTTAAAAATCCATATCATTTCTTCTCAATTTCAAAACTCTTATCTTATCAATTTTCTAAAACTCACGAAATACGCCGTAATATTCTCTCATTTCTTGCGAACACTAGCAATGACTTAGTGGGGCACGAACCTCGCCTCTTCGCCAGACACAAGCAGCAATGCTGCACATCAGTAAGAGAAGATGTTTGAAGCTTCTTTCCCATTTCTTAGCTATTTATGACTTTTTTTCTATTTTTGTCTAAGTGTTCATATATAGAAGGTCTCTTTCTAATGTTTTGTCTTTGGATTATTTTTATTTTATTAAATGGATAAAATGGTGTTTTTTATGTTGAATTGTGAGAGTGTAAAGGACTAATATCATTCCAACTTTTTTTTGTTATGTTTTGTTTTTCGCAAAACCAATTTGCCAAACCATTTTTTGCTTTTATTAAACCAAACAAGTTGTGTACGATTCAATATTTGGTATCAATTGTTTTACCAAAATTTTGATTTTGTTCAGTTTGATTTTACCAAGTCAACACCTTTAGAGCATTGTGCGTGCCACAATTGAATTAATCTCATAATACGACATTGAAACTCAACGTTAAAAGATCTTTGTCAAGACAAAATTTGATACCATTACATAAAAAACTTACATGCTACGGTGGTGTATGTGTTCAGATTTCATTTTTACGGCGATGACATGACTCGACAAGTGGAGGCACACCACTTCTGCAGCCACCAAAACGAGGAATTTCGACAATGTTTGATCTACGATAGCCCAGACGCAGGCGCACGCCTCATAGGGGTGGAATACATGGTCTCAGAGGAGCTCTTTTTGACACTCCCCGATGACGAGAAGCCGTTGTGGCATTCACACGAGTACGAGGTGAAGAGCGGTGTGTTGTTCATGCCCGGCGTTCCCGGGCCATTTGAGCGTAAGGAAATGGAGAAGGTGTGCAAAACTTATGGTAAGACCTTCCACTTTTGGCAAGTGGATCGGGGCGATAATCTCCCCCTTGGAACCCCTCAGATCATGATGTCACTTACTCGAGATGGTCAGCTCTATGATAACCTTGCTCAAGGTAATTAATTCTTTTTTCATTTCCCAAATTTAATTATTTCAGTTTTTACATCATAGATTTTATTCTATTATAGCATAGATAAATTTATAATCTTTGGGATATCTATATTAAAACTTCATAGAGTAAATTTTATATTTGGTTCTTTATAACAAGAATTCACCATATTTAGTCCTCTATTATCAAATATAATGTATGTAGTTCTTTTTTTAGTACCTTTTCATACATAATCATTTTTCGACTTCTGTCATACTGATGTTAAATTGAGAGCTAAAAGTGTAAATTCATATAGACTCATGTCGGCTTGACATGCAACACAATAATAATGACTATGTCTATGGACTAAGACTCCGGCTAGATACGATATCTGTAGACTATGTTGTGGTAGACAGCGATTCAAGTAGACAAATGATATATCAGTAGTGACTAACCTCTATATTATTTTACGAAATGAGTAGTAAAAATAAGCAACAAAAATGAGTTAAGTTTGACTTGTGAATAGTATCTGAGAAGATCTATAGAGGACGAAGGGAGTATGTTTCAGTGTAAAACTTGAATCTGTTTTGGAGAAAGATGACGGACACTAATAAACATTAGTATCATATAATGGTGCAGATGTTGAGAAGCGTTTCAATGTTTCATTTGCAAAGGAGAGGGAAAAGAGAGCGTACATGACCGGCCCCGAAAATGGGATACACCCGTTAGCTAATGGAGCGGGCAAAGGGATTCGAACAGTGCTTCGAGAGGTGGACAGCAAGCCCGTAGCCAACAGCGTTCCAAGAGTCTTTGTTTAACTCAAACTAAACTTCACCTTCCTATACATAACATGATTAAGGTAATGAAGAATAAAGATATGGGCTTTATGTATTATCTTTCATGTGGTATTTTGTATTAATGGATGTTAAATTAATGTTGTAATAAAGTGTGAGTGTGTACTCAAAAGAATAAGGTATGATGAGTTTGATAGAAGGATTCTCACACCTTGATATCTTAATATCTATCTATGGACTATTTTATAAACAAACTAGTTTTAGCTTTGTGTTTTGAATGAATCTCTAGGAAGTCTTAATTTTAATTTCATGTTGCGGTTTAAAACTTTTGACTAAAAGTATTTTTAATTTTATTTATTTGAAACTAGTGTTGAATTAAAAAAGAATAATTTATGGTTTTAAAATTATGTTAAAAGTGGTATGAAACTAGATGTGACATGATTAAATTATTTTATTAAATGTGTAACGGAAATAGATTTTTAAAAATGGATATAGTTTGCTTTCCAACAATTAGTGTAAATAGGGACGGATGGTGTATATATATATATATATATATATTTGTAAATCAAATAAAAAATTTGTATGTAGTAGAAAGTCAATTTCACATTTGGGATATTATAAAGATAAAAACTTAAGATTCTTATCTATGGTAGTACAAACTAATATGAAAAAATGAATTCTCAAAATGGACCTTATTCTTAAATTAGTTTTCAATAAGTAATAATTACTTGTTTGATTCTTTAAAATTTAATTTTATTATAAAAATAGTCTTTTTGTAAAAAATGTCTACTAAATGTCAGTTAAATATAAGATATTTTGGTATTTTATATCATGTTTACTTAAAATATGTTCTCAAAATGCTTCTTTATGGTTATATTTTTTTTTCCAAAATGATAATTACCAAGTATTTTCCGAAATGCATTCCATGAGCCAATCGAGGGTGGGTCCATTCTTGTAGTTGTCACCCACTTAATTATATTTGAAAAGATCAAACTTTGAGGGCTTTTTGATAATTTAGATGATAAAAAATATCAATATATCCTCCACTTAATTTTCATTTAATAAGCATTTTAACAAAGAATTATTTAGGGTATACATCTCAATTACAAAGGACTATGTTAATAATTATTACTTATTGATGACTAATTGAGAAAACATTTTATTAGAAAGGATCCTTTTAAAAATTATCTCAATATGAAAACGAAACATTTTCTCATTTTCTTTTAGAAAAGAAGACCTACACAGGCCTTGTTTGAAAAAGTTTTTTCGATTAGCATTTTTCAATACGTTTTTTACACAATATCATACAAATAAAATTAAAAAATTGAAAAACTAATCTTTTTCAAAATGCAAAAATTAAACATTAAAGTTATTCCTTAACAAAGAGGTAATAGAAAACATTTTTCTTCCTATCAAACAAAGTTCATTCGTATACTCATTATATTTTATATTTTTGAACACTTTTATTGAAAGAAGAGCAATAATAACAATGTTTATTCATATACTCATTATATGGGCCATTAAACTTCTTAACACTTAATGATAGAGCAATATTAGCAATAGAATGGTCTAGTGATAAGTACATAGATCTTTGAATAGCCAAAGCCAATTACAGAGTGATAATCAAAAGGGATGTTTGGTGCCCTTTTTTTGCTTATTACCTGACAAGGCCCAAGTTAAGAATGCCCCATGCATTTTTGGGCCAGGACCTCTCTTGGGCCTTCATGAGCAGAACTCTGCCCCAAGAAACCCAACCTTCCCAAGACATTCTCTTATCCCATGGAGAGGCCCATTTCAGTATAAGGCCCAACCCTTTATCTGCCTCTCTTGCGGCCTCTTCGAACCTCCCCAAGCTCAAACAAATCTGGCCCAAAACTAAGTGGGCCTCCCCCACAAAAGGGTTCTTCTGGATGCTCTTCCTCAGCCTGTCCTCGGCCCATTCCAACCCCTTCTTCGGCCCTTCGCACACTGCTTCCCAGTACAGATCCCGTGACAGTATCTGATCGCCGGCGTCGAGAATTTCAGTGCAGAAATTGAACACCGGCGGGATCACAAGCTCAATCTGCTCGTCTCTCTCCGGTTCGAGTAATTTTCCGGTTTCCCTTCTCCTCTGTTCGATGTAGATCTCTTCTTCCCGGACGATTAGGTTGTAGATTGCGCCCATTCGAGATACTGAATTCACCCAGAGGCCGGGTTTCCCGTCGCCGGGCCATATTCCGGATAGGGCATCGTTGCCGGAGAATTCGAGCCGGCCGTCAAGGTTCTCGAATAGAACGTCCTGGAACCCGAACAGCTGGTCGCTGAAATCCGCCATGGTCATCAGCAGGAAAATCGCGACGATTCTTCTCGAAACGGCGACGTTTTCGCCCGTCTTGATGTGCTTGGCCACGATCCCGTCCGCCGGCAAGACCGATTGCAGTTTCCTCCTCCACGCCTCGCCGCCGTCGAACTCCCCCTTCTCCTTTGCGTTCCTCGCGGAGGCCTCGGAAGCCCTAAGGTGGTCCACGATTTCCGAGTCGGAGTATTTGAAAAGGAGATCCTCGTGGATCAGGGGCTGACGGGGGACGACGCAGAAGAGATGGATGAGCCGCTCTGCCTCGTCTCCGACGTGGCGGCGGACGGTGTCGCGGCCGGTGGAAGGGTCGAAGATGGCGAGATTGACGTAAGAGTTGGAGTAGGCGGAGTGGAAGAGGCCGCAGAGGCAGACCGGATCTGGAGCCTTCCATAGCTTGAGTATCCGGTAGACGTCCACCAGATGTGAGAGGAAACTGCCGTGTTTGTGCCAGCACTCCCCGGCCCCGACGGATCGGAGAACGGCAACCAGGGAGGGTAGCTTCTTATCGACTTTCTCCAGCTCGCCTCGGAGGAAAGGGCGGGCGGCGCTGAGCACGGTGGCAAGGTAATCGCCGTTCTCCGACGATGGAGAGCGCGACGACGACATGTTCGGCTAAGATAAAATCGGCAACTTGCTGCAAATCAGGGGAGTGAGATAAATCACGAAAATGCGGATTATAAAAGTGCATTTATCAATGTGAAGAAGAGGAGATACAAATGATTACGAACTATTTGGATATTATCCATTTGGTTCATGCTACACTTACACCACAAATTATACCCCATTTGTACACCACAGTTATACACAAACATTTTGATGATTTACACCGATACAAGTATTTGTGCGTTAACAAAAATTTACACGGACACGAAGTGTCGGTGCATTAACAAAAATTAGTTTTACACCAACACAAAGTGTTGGTGCAAATCTGCGGGGTACAAAGTGGGGTATAAAAGTTGGGGTACAACTAACTTTATCATATCCATTTGTCCCATTTGCGATTAGACTCTTAGCTCTGGCCCCCAATCGATTTGACTTGACGGCGAAATTACCTTCCCCAGCCACTAAAAAACAGTGGAACGCCCTTCCGGATGCCCTACATTGCCGAATGATTGTGAAAGTTACAATTTTAATCTGGTCTTTAGAGTGGTTGTCTCGAGTTCGATGGCATAATATGCTATTACAAATAATAGAATTCCTACGCTGCCAGAATTTGACCCTAAGATCAATAGGTTTGACATCTCTTCCTTGAACCAGTTGAGCTACCCATGCGGGTCACCAACCAACTAAGATCCGACAGGAGGGGTGTGTGCATGGAGGTTGTTCCCAAAGTATGAAAAAAAAATAGAACGCCCACCTTGGGCACCCCACACCCCGACCCGACAAGATTGTGAGGTTGGTAAATTATGGTATAATTTTAATATGGTCCTTAGAGAGGTCGTCTTATGCCCGATGCGCACAAGAAACTATTACAAATAATAAAACTTTCACAATGCCGCTGTCGGAATTCGACATTAGTACCAATATGCCTGATCTCCTCTCCTTGGACCAATTGAGCTACTCAAGCAAGCATTCCCGAAGCACTGAAGAAGAGAAAGGGAGAGAAGAATAGATAGATGTGGAAGAAGAAGCAATCGGGGTAATGGGGGTCTGCCCAACGAAGATGTCGAACGTCGATCGGAAGGGGCAGTGTTCTTCATTGGCACTAATGCCAAATCGTATGTGGATCGGATGCCTTCCCAATTATCACACCCAATAGCATTAGAGTAATGCTTGAGTCACAATTACTAGAGTTACAAAAAAACTAATCCGTAGATTGACTTAAGATGCATAGTGACCATTGTGGATCTTCAAATTTTAAAGATACTCTCTTTATTCAATATTAATGACACATTAATGAATGAATAAGAGAAATAAAATATGTCTATACTTATTTGTTTATTTATCTAATACATCAAGAAAGTCATAATAAATAGTTAATATATGGAATGGAGGGAGTAAGTATTTCTTAAGTAGATAAACATTTTTGTTAAATATATACAACATATTTAATATTATTGTATTATTATTTTTATCATATTTGTATAGGCTTTCTATTATATCTCTCTTACCTTATTTAGGATTGAAACTCTTAGTGACTTAGTGTATAAATATATATACATGTACTCTTTACACAATTTAATTAATGATAATAATTATTCTTAATGGTATCGGAGCCTAACCAAAAACCCCAAGTCTTCTTTTCTTGTTTTCGGCCCTTCCTCTCGTCGAAATCTCCGCAGATCGGCCGCCGGTCCTCTTAGTTTTCCCTCTCCTTTGCCGACCGGCGCACCATCATTTCTCCCTCAAGATGATCGACAGTGAGGTCACGGCTCAACCCTCCTTCTCAAAATCTCCTCACCTTGCTTTTACCACCATCTCTAATATCAAAGTACTCAATTTCTCTCAACCAAATTACAAAAAATGGAGTCCTCTGTTTCCCCTCCTTGTTCGACGCTTCAATATCCACGGTCATCACAGGCTCTATCATCCCCACCTCTAATGGCGACGACGAATGTATCTAACTTGATATTCTTCTTCAAGGATGAATTCTCTCTACCACTGATGATGTCTCTCATCTGGTAATCTCCTCTATCTCCACTGCTTCTGCTCTCTAGAAGGTCATTCATGACCTATTTCATGACAACAAACATGCCCGGTCCATGCAATTAGAACATGAATTCCGCACCACTATCAAGGGCAATACCCCAATGGCGACTTATTGCCAGCATCTCCAGAATCTAGCCGACTGGTTGGATGATGTCGATGAACCAGTGTCACAAACTCAACTCGTTCTTCAGATGCTGTGTGGGCTTCCAACAGCTCTTCAGGCTCAGACATCCTTTCTTCAATTTCAGGATCCCATGCCGACGTTCCTCCAAGTTCGATTCGCCTTGATGCTGAAGAGAAACGTACCCCTTGGATGACTCAAGCGGCACCGTGTTAATTGCACCTCAGGCCAGCAACGCCCCTTCATTCGGAGTATCCGGTGAGCAGCAAGGCGGCGGCTCGCAGACCTTCCCATGGGGGACAACATGGCAGCATCAACTTTGGTGATGGATCCTTTGGACAGCCTGGTGGCTATGGACGTGGCCAAGGACGTGGAGGCAGAAATTGGGGTCGAGGTCGTGGACGTCAAAACGACTCATGACATCGACAATCTCATGATGGCACAAACACCTGCAGGGGCGGAGGAGAGGGGGGGGCTGCCTGGGCGCGTGCCCCCCGGTGAATTTCTGGCGAAGTAGTATTAGGGTACCCTTCTCCGATGGTAGGCTTGATGTGCCCCCCCAAATTTTCCGGCAAGTCGCGGGGTGCTGTGGGCTGTGGCGGCTGTGCACAGGGAAGAAGAAGAAGGACTGCAATTTCCGAAAAATAAAACGGGATTATACGACGTCGTAGAGTAGCGGTAGGTTTTTTTTTCTAATTGAGAGTTTGACCGACCCACAAATCTCTGACCCATTCCCTATTTTTTTTCTAAAGGCTGGACCCATTCCTTTTTTTCATATCTACTTTATTAAAAAAACCAGTAACCCTTACCCACTACGGCACTACTCTCTGGCTCTCTTCTCTGTGCGGCAGAGTTCTTCTTCTTCCAATCTTCATCTTCGGTTTTTCCTCTTCAGTTTTCCATTACTTCTTCAATTCTTCTTCTTCTTCACATATAAGGAGGCTCTCATTATCCAGGTATATTCAATTTCCAATTATTCAATTTAGAGATTTGTTTGTTAATTTTTAAATTTTTGAATATTATTAATTTATTTTTTGAATACTTTAATCTGTTCCCTTGTTCTAATTTTTATGTAGATTCCTAATTTTTTTATTGATATTTAAATACTTGTTAAATGTTAATGTATATTCATTTTGTCATTTTATTATTTAATTAGGTAATCTTGAGACCTGAGATGGATAAATTTGTTATTAGAGAAAAGAAAAATTTGGCATTTGTAAATGATAAAGGCAAGGAAAAAGAAGTATCTTCTTCCCTAGAGAAAGAAAGTGTGATTTCAAATGATGATATTATTGCTGACCCGGGATTAAGAAAACCAATCAATAGTTATCCGTTGGAAATTAGAGATGTTCTAAGGAGAAGATACTTAGCAAAAGGTCCTTGTCAACCATTGGTGCATAACTTTCCACAAACTATGACGGGCAAAAAAAAGACGGTTTCAAAGTGTTTGGTTTGATAAGTTTAAGTGGTTAGAGTATAGTGTCGCCAAGGATAAAGCATATTGTTTGCATTGTTATTTGTTTGCAAATACAAATAAAAATGGATCAAACGCTTTTACCGAAGTTGGGTTTAACAACTGGAAAGATGGTCCAAAAGCTTTTGTTGACCATGAAGGAACCAATGAAAGTGCTCATGCTTATTGTAGAATTAAAGTTTAGCAATATCTTAATCAAAGAGAGAACATAGATTATGTCTTATCGACTAACACTGTTGGCATTGAGGATGATTATCGTACTCGGTTAGCAACAGTTGTAAAAGTGGCTCGATACCTTCTAGGGGAAGGTTTAGCGTTTAGAGGGCATGATGAATCTTCCGGCTCAATCCATCGAGGTAATTTTCTCGAACTCATATCTTGGTTTTGTAAGACTAATGCAGCTACAGACAAAGTCATGCAAATAAATGCTCCTAAAAATAATCAAATGACCTCTCCTACCATTCAAAGAGATATTATTGAAAGTTGTGCAATGGAAACGAGAAATGTCATATTGAATGAGATAGGGAAAAAGAACTTTGCTCTTTTGATTGATGACTCTGTGAAAGAGCAAATGTCGGTAATTTTGAGATTTGTGAATGATAAAGAGGAGATTATTGAACGCTTTCTTGGATTAGTTCATGTTGAGGAGACTTCTGCAAAATTTCTTAAAAAGTTAATTGATGAATTTTTTGCAAAACATGGATTGTCCCTTTCAAGACTAAGAAGTCAAGGTTATGATGGAGCTTCAAATATGCGCGGTCAGTTAAATGGGTTGAAAACACTTATTCTTAATGAAAACAAGAATGCATACTATATTCATTGTTTTGCGCACCAACTTCAGTTAGTTATTGTTGCAGCTGCACAAGATAGGGAGAGCATATTTGATTTCTTTGAAAAGCTTTTGATGATTGTTAATACAGTTGGGTCTTCATGCAAACGGAAGGATTATCTCCTTCAAGTACACGAGGAGGAAACTTTGCATAGCATAGAAATAGGTGAATTGTCAACTGGTAGGGGGAAAAATCAAGCAACATCTTTAGCTCGACCAGGTGATACACGTTGGGGTTCTCACTACAAAACTCTTGTTCGTCTCTTTGATATGTGGAATGCTATTGGTACAGTGCTTAATTTATTACACCAGCATGGTGAAACACCCAAAATTAAAAATAGTGCTAGTGGCATTCTTGATAAAATGGATTCTTTTGAGTTTGTTTTTATTGGAAAGTTTATGTTAAAAGTTCTAGGTATGACTAACACCTTATCAAAGATGTTACAAGCACGAGATCAAAACATTGGTTGTGCTTTAAATATGATTGGTGTAGTAAAAAAGAACTTGCAAGATTTTAGAGATCATGGTTGGGATGACTTTTTGAAGGAAGTTAGTGAATTTTGTGAAGAACATACAATTGATGTGCCTAACATGGAAGATTATCTTTGATACGAATATCGTATCGGATAGGGAAGAACTTCGAGCGTCTTCGGGCTCCAAGAAAAGGGAGGCAAAGAGAGAAGGAAAACTTCGAGCTTTTCCGGGCTCCAAGAAAAGAGAGACGAGAGATTAAGAGATTTCTTGATTATTCAGTGATTCCATAATAATAATACGAGAGTACAATATATAGAAATACGAGAAACCCTAATTAACCTAATGGGCTTGGGCCCCATTTTAAAAACCCTAATCTATAGAATATTAATAAATAATAATAAATAACTACTAAATAATTATATAGCTAATTGAAATATTTGAATAAATTATCTGTATCATTCCCACCCCCTTAAAATCCACCTTGTCCTCAAGGTGGAGGCTCCCACTCGTGCTTTAGGACCGGAGAAAGAATGCTGAACCAAAGGAGTAGTCTACCCTTTGAATCTTTCACCATCTTGGATCTTGGAGCAAAGTGATGGAAAGATGAGACGGGGCGCAGAACATATGTAGTTGCTCTTGGCGAAATCAGGTGCTCCATCTTGACCACAATGACAAGCTCAAACAACGTGATGGTGTCAATCAACATAGGCGAGTGTGCTTGTTTACCATCTCCATCTGTCACTTTGTCAACACTTTTTAGAATATCATACTCTGCAATGACCACACCAGCTGAGGTAGAAAATTCCTGAAAAGTATGATCTGGCTTGTCGACATTAGCAACATCTTCAGCAACAGGACTTTCTTTTTTCTCCACAACGCTGGACCTCCCATTATCTTTGTTTATGGCTTCATGCCGGATGTCCACATCATCTCCACCTTGTAAGCCAACGCTTGATTCCTTCTTGGATGCGTGATCATGTGCTTCACCATTTTGGTCAATTATTGTAGAGACCAGATTTGGCACAGAAGGCGGACTACCAATGAGAACTTTTATAGCGCCCAACATGCCTGTTCTAAAGTGTTGTAACTCCCAAGGAATCAAACTCGGCCAAATTGGGGGCCCACGGACCAAATTTTGTATCGCGCAAGAGATTTCAATGTCAAATGCATGTAAGTTAGAATCATAATTTGGCTTACCTGCAATAGAACGGAAGGATTGGAGATTCTTTATAAGTTCATCTATTTGAACGTAAAGTGTGCACACTCCGTCGTCGTGCTCAATTTCACCATAAAGAACGTTCTCTAATAGAGCAATAAGTTTCTCCAATGCATGGGTACACACGATCAAAATCTCTAACCGCTTGAATTGAGCCTCCATTCGAAAAGAAAAATTGGGTTGCATTTTTTTCTTGGAGTGCGGTGCAAATTGATCCGACGGCTGCCACAAACAATTATAGTGGATCTCTTTAAACAATTATACTGGATCTTAACCAAATTCTTCCTCCGATCTAAAAAAAAATACAAATCTTCCCTGGTGACTTTTTTTTCTGTTTCGATTTGGCACCACAGCAAATTCTGAACAAATCCTTGTTACAATAGCCAAATTTATGTGGATCACTCTCAAATCCTTGAGCAAATTCTTGGTGGCCACAACAATTGGCACTAAAAATTGAACCACAACGCCAGCCTCAAATCTGCCAACTTTATGGAATCTGCTTCCTTTGTGCGGCAACTGAACCAATTGGATGATATCTCTACTGCAACTTCTTTTTTTCCGTAAATAGCTAGGCTATTGTGCTTGGTCAAAACAAAATTTTGCAACGGCGGCTGCAAATCTTGTGTCCCTACAGGGGCGATGGGACAAAGTTGTGGCTTACTTTGTCGCTGGATCTCGGATTCCTATGACAATGATTTTTTTTTGGTTTTATTTTTGGTGAGTTCAACAATGAGAGCACCAATTGATACGAATATCGTATCGAATAGGGAAGAACTTCGAGCGTCTTCGGGCTCCAAGAAAAGGGAGGCAAAGAGAGAAGGAAAACTTCGAGCGTTTCCGGGATCCAAGAAAAGAGAGACGAGAGATTAAGAGAATTCTTGATTATTCAGTGATTCCATAATAATAATACGAGAGTACAATATATAGAAATACGAGAAACCCTAATTAACCTAATGGGCTTGGGCCCCATTAAAAAACCCTAATCTATAGAATATTAATAAATAATAATAAATAACTACTAAATAATTATATAGCTAATTGAAATATTTGAATAAATTATCTGTATCAATCTTCGTGGGCGATCAAGAAAGAAGATGAGAGGTAGGTGAACCCATGACAAACTATGTACATTTTCGTGGAGAGATCTTTGCAAAGGTATATTACTCTTATTAATTTTAAATTTTAATATGATTTTTTGGAAGTATTTTAATATCATAAGCAATGAGGTTAAGTTATTATTATTATTATTATTATTTATTTGATGTTAGGTCATTGATATTCTTGCAACGGAAATGGATAGACACTTCACAGAGACAAACACAAATTTACTAAGATGTGTAATGTGTCTTGATCCTTCAAATTGCTTTGCGAGTTTTGATCAAGATCGACTATTAGAACTTGCTGTATTATATTCAAAAGATTTCAGTTCTTGTGATCGAGTTCAGCTTATTCATGAACTTCAAAATTATATTTCTGACATGAGATCGAATGAAGTTTTTGCTAATATCTCCAATCTTGGAAGTCTTGCAAAGAAGATGGTGGAGATGAATTATCACACTTATTTTCCTTTGGTATATCGGCTTATAGAATTGGCATTGATATTACCTGCTGGGACAACTTCAGTTGAAAGGAGTTTTTCTGCGATGAATATTGTCAAGACGGATTTACGCAACCGTTTGGGAGATGAGATGCTATCAGATTGTCTATTATGCTACTTTGAGAAAGAAATTTTTATGAGCATTGATGATGAAGTTATTATGCAGCTCTTTCAAAAGTTGGCATCTCGAAAAAAAATTTTACGGCTTCAAAAAATTCTTACTCATTTGGGCAAATAAAAGGTATGTTTAGCTGCACTTTTCTAAATAAGGTTGTTACTATTATGAAAATTTTTTGTTGTTTTTTAAATAAATTTGTGCCCCCCCATGAAGTATACCCTGGCTCCGCCACTGAACACCTGGAACTCACCTTACCCTAACCCTAACCTGGGGTTGTTAAAGTCCACAGCCCACAAACACACCCTAGCCCTACCAAGCCCATGCATACTACACTACCACCCCACCCCCGAACCCATAC